CGGGGTCAACCTGCAGCATTTCAGGCCATTCGAGAGGCGAGCGCTGTTAAATCTTCTTAAAGGCCAGGGCGACCTCATCAGAATTTTTCGAAGTCAGGGGTTCGGCCTCTTTGTAGGGACAGGCCACGTTGACAACGGTCAGCGCTTATTTGAAAACTTTGCGGCCGCGAGGGAGCTTGTCATGCGGCAGAAAAAGAGGGTCCACCTGATGGACCCTGTTGGGCGTGGGAACGTCGAATTTCGGCCAAGGAATCTGCTTTGGCGCGGGGAGGTATACCTGCCAGAGCGCTTGCCTGATCAGCCACTTTTTTGTGGCTTCTTGAGGTACCTCGGCGGCTTCGGCTAATTTTTTTATCACGGCGATTCCTTTCCAGTAGCCCCCGGGGCTGTAGTAGATCTTCGCGAGTTTGGCGTCCATATAAGTAAGGTGTAAAAGAGTTTAAAGGAACCGGAAGGCCGCGTAGGCCAGAGCGAGCGCCCCGGAGCCCACAAACGCGAGTTCACCGTTTTTCTGCAGCTCACTTGGCTGATAGAAATCTGGGAACTTTGGCTCCTTGGGAGGCACCATCTGTTCGTCAGGATGCGCCTGGTTGTAGAGTTTGAAGGGGTAGTCTGTGTTGGTCATGTTCTGCTTGGCCTGCTCCTCTGTTTGCACGTTGGTCGCGATCCAGTCGAGAAGTTGTGTACGGTCTCGCGTGTATCTGGCGTAAGCGGCTTGATAATCTTCGAGAGCTTTGTCGTGGCGCTTCTTTTCTTCAAGCGCGGCTTTGTCGCCCCTGCCGAGCGCCCTCGCGAGATAATTACCGCCAATAAAAGCAGTGGCGTTCAACACAGCCCCGCCAATCATGATCGCGATGCTAGCCATGGTTGTATATTAACGGAATATTTTTTCAAATCATAACTCATTCTTGCTTCTGGAAAGCAAACAAGTTGTTCGCAATTTAGAGGAGAAGGTCTTCGGATCTATTTTTGTATTTTTCTTTGGCGTTTTGATACTTCTCAGCGGCTCGCACTTGCATACCTTTTAAAAACTCCACACTTTTTTTCGTGAAAGTTTGCCTCGATCCAGTCGAAGTTGAGAAGAGAACGCTCAAAACACTCAAAAAACCCCTTGAGCGCATCGTCGAAGCTCATTCCATCTTCTGTCATTGATGTCAAAATTCGGCGCTATCAATGCTTGCCATGGTGCAATATAATAGACTATATCTTCAAATGCTGGCAGGGAGGATTTTCTGGTCCTCAAGGTACCCTTTTAGCGCAATGCTGCCCGCCACAACGACGGTGAACTTCATGTAATTCATAAAGCTGCTGGTGGGATCAGAAGTGAAATTCTCGTTCACAACCTTTTTCGAAGGCCAGCCGATGCCCGTGGCTAATCCCGTGAGAGTTGCTGTGTCAATGGCGGTCTTGACAAGCTTGTTGTCGGACATGGCACGCTTGATATAAGGAAAGAGCGAAAGTTTAAAACAAAATTAATTGGGGCCCTGTCTTTCAGCTTCTTCTTCCGCAAATTCTTTGATTTTGTCTTCTATTTCAATTTTTCGCCTGACCTCTTGTCCCATTTTTCTCTGCCTTTCTCCCTCTTTAACAAGCATTTTGTCGGTAAGATGTCTCACCATCCTCCAACTCTTGACGGTAAAATCGGCCCAAAAAAGCATTATCCCTTCGATTGCTGCTGTATGGATGAGAAGTTGCGCAAGGCTCGGCATCGTGATATAAATCACACACAAACGTTCAAAGCATTTTTTTAAATACTCGTGGGCGTGTCGCGCGAGCAGGTTCACGCTTGAGAGTCACGGGCTCCGGCGGCGCGGGCTCCGGCGTTTTGAATTTGTCGAAAACGGGCTTGGCCATTGCCATGAGCTCTTCACGCTTGTAATAGATCCCGAGAAGGGAAACGCCAACGCCGCCCATAGCGATCCATTGGTTGGCGCCGAGGCTGGCTTTGGGGCCGCTGTGGTGGGTTTCGCTTGCTTTTCTGCGTAATAAGCCTCGGCCGCTTTCTTCTGTTCTTCTCAAGCCAGACGATTTCTTTCGGCAACCATTTTTCCGGCAGCCACACGCTTGGGGTTTTTTACACGCTGCATGGTTGCAGTCAGAGTTGTCGGTTGCTGTGTGGTATCGGCGGCAGGCGCTGCCTTGGTCTCCACCTGAGGAGCAGTGACGGCACAAGGCGCTGCCTTGGCCTCAACCTGAGGCGCAGTGACGGCGACAGGCACACTCTCGGATTGTTTGGTTGACATTGAAGCGAACTGTATTATAAGCAAATGAAAAAAGTTTAATTGTTAACAAATGGTCAGGAAGACCTCAGCATTTGTTGATGAATGGTGACCATTTATTCTGCAGTTGCTGAGCCGGGTACTTCCTCAAAGTCCTCAAAGCCCTCAAGCGGATTGCTGTTTTCATAACGAGAAGGGTGGCTCTGCAGCGGCAACTGTGTGGGGTTCCACCCCACATCCCCGGGGCACGGGGCAGAGCCCTGCTGTGGGCTATAATCAATATGTTTGGTGTTGATCAACACAGCGTTGGCCGCAGCAAAACGCCCGCACTTCAAAGCAAGGTTGCTGGCCAGATTGGAGAGCTCTTTGTTCAAGATGTAGTCATTTCTGAGCTCTTTTTGGTAAGCCTCGAGGTCTTTGATTTTGACGGCCATTCCGGCCACCTTGGTTGCAAGAAAAATGAAGCTGTCGATCAGGCTTTCCGTTGTCTTCGAGCCCACGTATGCCGCGTAGCGTTTGGCGTATTTCGCGACCTCTTCGTTGTTCAGGTGCTTCACCTCGTGGGTCAGCTGCAGTGTGATGGCCTTTTGGCTTTGCCTGTGGACACCAGCATGGCCAGCTGCTCGCAAAGAGTGGGAATGTCGGGTCCGGGGGCGAGACCAGTTGATGGTGCGGGCTCCGTTTGAAGAACGTCCAAAACTGCTGCTAACGCGGCATCTTCTGCAGCCATTGTGCAAGGCTATATAGAGCTGCAATTTTTTATTCAAATAACTTTACCCCATACGGGTGGCGAAGCGCGAAACTAAGATAAGAGAACTTTCGCTCTTTCAGCTTTGAAATCAATCCTCTGTGCTCATCGGGGGAGAGCTCGCTGGCATAGTCGTCGAAGATGGCTTTCGTTGTCCTGGTCGAGGGGTGTAAAAGAGGACGATCGCCGCCACGTTCTCACGATGGAAGCTGTTATTCCGGTCAACTTGTGGGTCAGCGCCCACACGCTGATGCCCATATGACGTGCGGAAAAGGCAAGATTCACCAGCTCGCCTGTGCGCCCTTTCACATGTTTTGAGGCCGCGCAGTCGTCGAGGATTATGAGCGTGTTGGTGCCCTCGGAAAGCCATCTCACGAGCTTACACCACCTTTCCACGTTGTAATGCTCGCAGACTATCACATCCATTCTTGGATCGTTTTCGCCAAGCCGGTGGTAGGTCTTGTTGTGCGTGAACCTCGGGCAGATGAGAACGATGTAGTCTAACTTTCCGCAAAACGGGCCGTACAGCTGGTCCACCACGAACCTCGATTTGCCTGAATTGGTCGGCCCCACGATGAGAGCGTTGAAGGGTATCTTGCTTGGGTCCATGTTCTATTCAATTCTGTACAGATTCCAGCTGTCTTTCCATAATGTTGAACTGGGAGTCGGCGATGATGAATACGTGGCAGTTCACGTTGCCTGAGCCTTCAGCTTTCCTCTCGATTTCCAGCTGGACCCCATCCATACTGTTCACAATGCGCTTGCCACTTCCATGAATGTCTTGGTCCGCCATGGAGCGCATATGAATCAGAAGCCCGAAATTGTCTCCGGTGTAAAACTTTGTCACATCCATAAGCTCGGTTTTATTTTTTTCCTTCACGAAGAAGCGTTGGGCCTCTTCCCACATGTCCTTGCCTTCGACGCCGTTGTTGTAAATCATGTTGGGCGAGCCGTTGATTGTGACGCTGACTTTCGTCAGATCCGGGAAGACGTATTTTTCTGAATCTCTGGCACCATCAGCATACGGCTCTATGAACAGTAGCAGGATGGCTTTTAGTGACCTTTTGGGCATTGATTTTGATGTTCTTTCTCGTGTCGGTGTCTTTTTTGAAGGTCACCATTTGGGAACGCATCACATGGTCATAGCCGAATTCTTTTCCGCTGGAGTAAACGCTATGCGCCTCTTCTGCCAGAGTCTTGCTGCGGATCATATCGTACTCGAGCTGGATGTTGGTCAGCTTGTATTTCAGCTTGGTTGTATCGAAGCCATTGACCACATGTGGAGCTTTAGCCAGGGTTATTTCGAACGTGAGGTCTTTGTAAAGGTCCTGGGGGTAGAAAACACTGTGGTCGGTGAAGGTCTGATGGTCCAGCCTTATCCGGTACTTGCTCCCGTACACCTCGTTCAGCTTTTCTTCAGCGTCGACGCCTGAGGTTTTCATGTCTCCCGCACCTGAGCGGATCTTGCATAGATCCTCGCTCTGAATCCCTTCGAGGATCGTGTTGTCTCTTTCTTCCTGCAAAAGGAAAAGGTCTTGAAAGATTTTGTAGATGCCATAGCCAACCGTGTCATGGAGGGTAGTGCCTCAAAACTTCATGTGCAGCCTGTCAATGAGCACTCGCGNTCACCAGCTCGCCTGTACGCCCTTTCACATCTTTGGAGGCTGCGCAGTCATCGAGTATTATGAGCGCGTTTGTGCCCTCGAAAAGCCATCTCACCATCTTCAACCACTTTTCCACGTCGTGCTACTCGCATATTATCACAGCCATTCTTGGATCATTTTCACCAATTCGGTAGTAGGTCTTGTTGTGCGCGAATGTCGGGCAGATTAGAACGATGTAGTCGAACTTGAAGCGGAAAATGCCGTAGATCTGGTCCACCACAAACCTCGATTTGCCTGAATTCGTCGGCCCCACGATGAGAGCGTTGAAGGGCAACTTGCTTGGGTCCATGTTCAATTCAATTCTGCACAGATTCTAGTTGTCTGTCAATAATGTTGAACTGGGAGTCGGCGATAACGAATACGTGGCAGTTCACGTCGCCTGAGCCTTCGGCTTTCCTCTCGATTTCCAGCTGGACACCGTCTGTACTGTTCATAAGGCGCTTGCCACTTCCGTGCATTTCTTGGGCCGCCATGGAGCGCGTATCTATCAGAAGCCCGAAATTATGCCCGGTGTAAAACTTTGTGCTCGGTCTTATTTTTTTCCTTCACAAAGAAGCGTTCGGCCTCTTCCCACATGTCCTTGCCTTCGACGCCGTTGTTGTAAATCATGTTGGGCGAGCCGTTGATCGTGACGCTGACTTTCGTCAGATCCGGGAAGACGTATTTTTCTGAATCTCTGGCACCATCACCATACGGCTCTATGAACAGTAACAGGATGGCTTTTAGTGACCTTTTTTGGGCGTCGACTTTGATGTTGATCCTCGTGTCGGTGTCTTTTTTGAAGATCACCACTTCAGAACGCATCACGTGGTCATAGGCGAACTCTTTGCCGCTAGAGTAAACGCTGTACACCTCGTCTGCCAGAGTCTGGTTGAGGATCATTTCGTACTCGAGCTGGATGTTGCTCATCTTGTATTTCAGCTGGGTTGTATCAGAGCCTTTGACCACATGTTCAGCAAGGGTTATTTCGAATACGAGGTCGTTGTAAAGGGCCTGGGGGTAGAAAACGCCGTTGTCAGTTACGATCTGATGGTCTAGCCTGATCCGGTATTTGCTTCCGTATACCTCTTTCAGCTTGTTTTCAGCGTCGACGCCCGAGGTTTTCTTGTCTCCCACACCTGAGCGGATCTTGCATAGATCCTCGCTCTGAATCCCTTCGAGAATCATGCCGTCTCGCTTTTCCTGCNGGCTCTATGAACAGTAGCAGGATGGCTTTTAGTGACCTTTTTTGGGCGGCGACTTTGATGTTGAGCCTCGTGTCGGTGTCGTTTTTGAAGATCACAACTTCAGAACGCATCACGTGGTCATAGGCGAACTCTTTGCCGCCAGAGTAAACGCTGTACGCCTCGTCTGCCAGAGTTTTGCTGCGGATCATTTCGTACTCGAGCTGGATGTTCGTCAGCTTGTATTTTAGCTGGGTTGTATCGGAGCCTTTGACCACATGTTCAGCTTCAGCAAGGGTCACTTCGAATACGAGGTCGTTGTAAAGGGCCTGGGGGTAGAAAACACCGTGGTCAGTTAAGATCTGATGGTCTAGCCTGATCCGGTACTTTTTCCCGTAAACCTCGTTCAGCTTGTTTTCAGCGTCGACGCCCGATGTTTTCTTGTCTCCCGCGCCTGAGCGGATCTTGCATAGATCCTCGCTCTGAATCCCTTCGAGAATCATCCCGTCTCGCTTTTCCTGTGAAAGGAAAAGGTCATCAAAGATTTTGTAGAGGCCGTATCCAACTGTGTCTTGCAGGGTAGTGCCTCCAAACTTCACGAGCAGCCTGTCAACGAGCGCCCGCGTGACGTTCTGGACAAGGAAGTTGTTGGCGTGCCCTCCAGAAAGGTCGATATCAAAGACAAGCGCTAGCGAGCCCGGCACCAGAACCTCGTTCACGTTCAGCTTGGGCACTGAAACATACAG